CAAAATCTGCACACAACACTTCCACCCACCCCTCACAGAACATCCTCATTTTTTCCACTGTATGTCCCATTTCGAATGGTTCCACTGACGTAGGTTCATTTTATAGCTCGCAGCTCTTCTCCTTGACATCTGTCTCAGCTATGCCTTGTCATCCGGAGCAGACCGTTCCATACCTCTGACCTTACTTTGCTTTCAAACTGACTTCGTTCAACGTAATCATTCTTATGCATACAGGACAACAAACAGGTTTCACTCGTACGTTCGAAAGCCTATGGATTGATGTGCTGCCTCTCGGAAGCACGCATTCAGAATTCAAGCTCAGTGATCCGATTAACGTCTCCTTCCAACCCAAAAGAAGCGTTTCGATTGCGCGTTACCGGAGATCCGCGAATATATGCTTGTTCCCCATTCATCTTACGCGTTTGTAGTTTATGCATATTGTGAGCTCGGCAGCGGTCGACTGAATTCGCCTCGTTGCGTTTCGTATGATGATGTGATTTCAAATAGTAAGCTGTATCACTTCTTTTCATTGATAGCGTTTTTCATTATCTTCCTTTTATGCCAATGGTGACTTAATTATCTTTTCTATTCCAACGTACACGTGTTCCAGAACCCCAACTCATCCAACAATAGAAGGAATGCTCACGAAGGCACTGATTTCTTGCGGCTACTTAGCGGATGCTAGCCCCAAAGAATACCGAAAGGTGAATAACTTTTGTGCCTATATCATTCACCTGCTGTTTGTATAGGAATAATCGATCATGGGTTCGTGGTCTGGATGTTATTTGATCATTGTTGGTTCTACATACACCTATAATTTTAATTAGTCCACAAATATTCCCATTTCCACTTTCAGGTTTGGTTCCAGCGTGCTTCCAAAACAGACAAGGCAGTATCCGCTATTGGCCAAGTGTGTTCCATGCTCGTAAGTCAACAGTCCCGTTTGCTGTTCTCAGCACATCTTCCAACGAATTCTTTCGTCATACTTTTCTCTCTCTCTCTCTAGCTCCCCGAAGATGGATATATCAAAGACAAATTGAATTCCGCACTGCCCGATCATATTCGCATTATTGGTAGGTTCATGCATTATCATTATATGACAATAACAATCGCTATACTACGTATTCTCGGTTCACATCAAGAATGATAAATAATGCCTTTGTTGTATGTCATTTGTGAAGCTCTTTGTTGGCTCATCGTTTCACACAGCCTGACTCACGTTGGCGCTTAGTTTAAGGTGAACATTCTATTCACCATAAAGATATACGTCCCTTTTTATATTTCTTCTGATTTGTTGCAGAATGGGGACAACTGTTTTCACACTTTTGGTATCCACCCCCCAGCCGCGTTTGACGATCTTCGAACCGTTTGTTCGGCTTCTTGATTGTTAGGTCTCGCGAAACCACACTTTCAAACGACCAGTTCAAAATCTCCAACCGTCGATCTCCCATAATCATAAACAAAAGAGATCAGCGCAAAGGTTCTGTTGCGTTACACTTCAAAGGAAAAAGTGCTTACTACGTAGAAATGACTTGGCTTTCAGAGTTCTAAAAACTATTCCCGATAACCGATGTTAGGGCAGATGTTCTAGGGCAGTAGTGACCAATAAGTTAAAGTAGATCAGGACCTCGCGTAATTGCTTTCGGTGTTTGTCGAACCCGACTGATTCAGTATGTAAAATGAACGCCGAAATTCCTTGGTTAATAAGCGGGACTGAAAGTCCGCGGTCACACTAGATAGTGAAATAATTAGTCAACAAAGACCGGTCTCGTTGGTTATTTAGATGACCTAATGTAAAGGGAATAAAATGACCATTGTTCACGCCTGGGAGCTATTCGCGTTTGGGAATGGAAATTATCGCAGTCACTGGGAAAGAGTCGGGATCCAGGTCCATGCACCTACTTTGTGTATGACAAGAGGTCCTCATCCGGTTCCGTTCTCTTGTGTCTAACGATGACAACGCTTATCCTTTGGGGAATGGATATAGTCAAAATTTCTGCTGTAGTGTTGAGTGGGAAAGTCGGGTAGCATAGAGTTGGCGGCAAACCAGAAAACAAACAGACTTTTTTCTGTTGGGTTTCATAACGTTTGGATAAAGTAGGGAACCATAGAGTCTTACTTTTTGTGCCGCTTTTCACTCTGCATAGTGCTTCTCAGCCTTCTGTGTGTTACCGACTTTGGTACGTAAAATGATTAACTGAATGACTGCTGTATAGTCGCTCCATGCTTTTAAACCTTTCGATGAGACCGGAGGTATTATGAGCCGTGTCAGTGACTGAATGCTGCTTTCTTTTTATGTACTGCATGACAGCAGTGCTAGTTAGATTACTATGGGACAACTTAGTTACCCGGACTTGGAGAACTAGACAAGAGGTACTGGTGTAGTTGGTTGATTTTCACAAATGTTTTTAAGTTCAAGGAATCATTTCTATCCAAAAAAAGACGCATCTCTTTTTATGTACAGGAAAATGTTTCTGATTTGAACACTCAAAACGGGTGTCGGAAAAAATAAAGCGTACTAATAACACTGGTCCTATCTTGGTACTCTCTCCCATTGACTTTCGTCTCTGACCATTTTGTAAGCCATCTGCTAGGTCCATATGAAAACGGCACCTTTAGGCTCTTGACACTAATTCAGATACAGTGAAATTTTCCAGCACTAGAGGCGTGCAATGTTTGTATACTGGACTCTGTTTTCAATTTTAGCACTATACGCGCTAGTGAAATTAATTTGCCAGTACCTGTCCGTCCGACGTATAGCAGTCACGCAATCAGTTTTCCTGAACTTATTTCTGCTTATCGTAAACTGCAGAGGAAAATCAGAGTCCAGACTCTTATGCATACACAAACTATTAATAATTCCATATTGCATCGGTTGTCGCGCAGGAGAATCAGGACTGCGCTGTACATTGCATCAAGCGGTGCGAGTAGAGATGAGTGGATTACTGCTTAGATATCCCAACCTTTGTTTATTATTTTGTCTTCCTTACCCAACCCTCGCCCTTTGCCTGTTTTTCTAACCCGTAACATTCTCTCAGACAATTTGTGTGTCACCACAGATCATTGTCAAATAGCACTGTAAGTGGTTTACGAAAAAATAGGTGGCAGGTTCTGAAGCTCAAATCACAAATATGGAGGCATTCAACGTGAGGACTCTGGTGCAGGTGATTCAACAAGCTTGTTTGGCGCGTAGATAGGACACCTTAGCAATCCATGTTGCTGCGATAATAATAGGCTGTCGGTGTCGAACACCGTTGTTTACGCCGTATTGCACGAGTCTGGTGGGGAAACCGGACAACCAATGCTAGGGTCAGGCGCTGAGTTTTAGATAACCGCGGCCGCTCACTGGAGCTAGTGGTCGACCTCCATAGACTACATTGACTGAGATGCGTGTTGCGCATGTCTCCAAGTAGATTGTCATGGCGCGCGTTGTTTTCCCAGTCAGATAGTAGGTGGAAGAATATAAAGGTTTTTCAAATTAAGACCCAGTATTAGCGTATAAAAATCTGATTTAGAGGCTCAGTCATATAGGTCGCGTTAGGCTTCCTGTCAGGGTGCATCGGGATCATTGTAATCGATGGTTAGACGCTAAGTGTCGTAAACGATGGCTCTAGTGTATATGCCCTACGTTTGAAACCTTAGTCTTCATGAATTATCTATTATCACTGTGGTGCGGAATCGAGCATTCCAATTTTCCCTTTACTTGTTCATCCAAATGTGTAGCTAAAACACAGCAACCACAACCGGCGCAAGAAACTTCATGCTTAATAATCGTCAAAAATGAGCTGAACTAAACTGCGTACCGCAGACATGAACTCAAGATCCAAGTACTATTAGCCACTTAAGTGCGCCGGATTGGCTCTCGAGGTAATTCCTCCGTACATCAAGCGAAGACGAAGCCCGTTCAACAAGTTAGCATGGGGTAGGTATGTAACTCAATAATATTGCCGGAGCCTCACAAATCGATTGGATCCCCATCAAAATTCGATTATGTGCGATGCAGCTCTAAAATTCAATCAGCGTCCGGGAGCAAAGCAACACATAAGTTGAAAACTGAACACAGTAGAAGATTCCTTAGGCGGTTGTTGTGCTCTGCCCTACTAGGGAACAGACAGTGTCGATTGACATCACGTGTTCCTGTGCAGTACTAACTTCGCTTCACAGCTCTCAACGAACGGCAACTTCCTATTCCTATTCGACTTGGTAAATTGGTTCACATGAAACAGCTGTAAGGTGCCGTCGGTGTGGTTCACTTCAAATCTGCAGGTCCCATTAGATCACCTGCGTTGACTATGATAACGCATTCGTCTTGAAGTTTACTCTTCGACTCACTGGTCACCGAAAAAAAACGCAGCCAACTCGGTTAGCACATCATCGCTCATCTGATCCAGTCGTTCGTGCCCGCTCTGAATTAGAGCTAGAATATGAACTAAGTGCGCAGCACTGTGCTAGTGTAGATGAGCAGTGAAATCAGAGTAGGCGAGCACTACACTCCGGGGCGAGTGTTGCTTGTAGATCCGAACCAGAAACCCGTCAAAGTCATTGTATTCTGTGTGCTCGCAATAGAGGTTCGTTTTATCTACCCCGTCTCTGAACGTATGCCCAATCCCATTCCACCGTATCCATTCTCACTTGTATGTAATATGAATTAGGCAGCGATCTGTGGAGTTCACTTCGCTATATTTTACTGATCAGAGTTCAAAAACACCAAGTACACTCACTATTGAGAAAACGAGTCAGTGAGCTATCATGGGAATATTTACACATTATTGTTTTTGGCACCGCACTCTGCTTGTGATTTTATGTTTCATGGTGTTAAGAACCCACCTTGACGGTTCATGTGAAGATCAAATCGAAGTAACTGAGCGGAGAGATGGCGATATCTTTTATACTCCTGACTGATATTCCAAATATTGACTTAAGACCCCAGCATCTGACAGTGAATTGTCAACGCTTGCGCTTTTGTTTTTTATATATTTTCATTAGTCGCTTTATTAAAAGAAAGAGATTACTCTGGTGCTATTACTCTCATTTTGATCATTATGATTCACTCGATTCCTTAGGGTAAACTTTTCGGATTCTAGAGGTGCGCGAATTCAGCGTAGTTCTTTCACCACTTTTCTCTTCACTCAGCAACGCGCCTTATGGAGTGATCCGTTTAGGTCATCAGCTGTACTATAGTTAATCGACTAATGGAACCATTTCCGCGCAGTTGGGTTTTGGTTAGTCCGATAGAAATGTCAAAATCAATTCCCGTGAAACCCTGTCGTCACTTTCATCTTAGTGTACCGATTTTCACCCAAAGTCTCTCGGTTTTATTGCCCTCGGCAGACGTGATCCGTGTGACGCGTAGTTTCAACGCTCAAACTGCATGCAGTCATCGGGTTTATGACTACTTTTTCCCTACCTATGCTCTGGCCCCCCGTGACTTGCCCGGTGGCGATGAGGCACACTGGAAATATCGAGTCCCGGCGGAACGCCTGACACAGGCCAACACAATTCTCAAACGGTTTGAGGGTACGCACAACTTCTACAACTTCACTTCCGGTCGGTAAGTTCCGAAACACTCCTATGCTCAGTCAGACAGTTCTTCTGTACTCACTCACTATGTATGTGATTTGATGGTGCCCTGTATCCATGGATAAGTTTTTTTAGTTGATATTCCTTTATAGAATTCGTGTTTTTACTACGGATCCTTCTCTTTACATTTTGCTGCACCTAGTTCTGTGTTTCATCGGCTCTGTTCTTACGCCGCCCCAAAGCACTATCACAAAATCAATACTTACAATCAAGTCGCACTCCGATAACACACAAGTATGTAAGCCTAAGCGACACACTTTCATGTCAGCTACTTTTTCATATTCACGTGATCATCATCCCCGTGTTATCATCCAATTGTTTGAAATTCACTACTTATTTTAACTTTTCCACACAAACATTAAATGCAAGAATAATCACAGTGCGTTAAATTTGCAAATATAAATAGCTTGTGGTCGTTCTTCTAGTCGAGTTGGGAGTCGTATCTTGGTTACACCAAAGCAATCGGAATCCAATGTTTGCTCCGAATAATAATTCGTAAGAGCACTCATTGTCTCAAGGCCCTAACCTCACTTGACAGTCATCCCCTCATGGCCCGAGTCAGTGCGCATGACCAACGTGTGTGAAACATCCTGTCATCCAAATAGTTTATGTTGAATCTTTATTACTCAGAACTGTGGTATGGTGATCAGTCGATAGATTACCGAAAAAGAGCTTTTCACCACTGTTTTTCTAACAATCATAAGTGGTTTGATAAATAACGAGTCGCTTCGGTTTCATTCAACATAGCCATTATATCCTCCTAAAAGGATACATCGAATCCAGCGACAATGATTCGTTTCCTATTTTGTAAAATGTTGCATCTTAAGGCCGACGAAAAATGTAGCATTTTTAAAGTTGGTAATTTCTTAAGACAGAACTGTTACAAAAGTACATTTCATAGTAGTAGAACAAAACAATCGATGTGGGAGTACACCAAAGCTACTTCATTAAGTTTTTTGCAGCTAACTAATAGGATTAGAATCCCCAGGAAGTAAGTACACCATGTTTACACATACTAATCGAAGCATGTAGTCCACTCATTTTACAACTGTGTCCAGCTAAAGTATGAGTCTTCCGGAATCGTTCGAATGGAACCTTTCCATGCCCGGTGATTGGTGGAAAAGTGGGTACAGATGAAGATCCTATCATGGTTCCACAGCCAGTCTCCATAAATTGAAGCAGAACGGGTCGTTCCGCGTTTGTCAGACACCAACTAGTCAGATTATTGAGCGACCCAAGTCAAATCCTCGGTTTCCCTGCTGCAGAAAGTCAATGGTCGGAAGTTACTAATCATTGGTGGGGACTTTATAGGTGGAACAAAGCTCTAGTGCATTATTGATTGACCGTGTCGGGAACGTCAACCAGGCTGGTCCCAATACACTTTACTGCTATCTACGTTGTAGTCAGCGCACAGATGCACACTCGCGTGCAAGGGTCGGAGAGAAACTGTGTGCCTGTGCACCAGAGTTGGATTCAGCCTACGCAGAACTCTACGCTAAACGATCTTTACTTTTTAACTACTGGTTGTCTGCAGTAGTGAAACTGACTAGTAGAGGTACGAGAATTCCTGATACCCCTGTATATATTGACAAACTCTAAGACGACGAAGCGTATTTAAGGCCAGAATGTTAAAATTCTGCACATGCATATAACAGTGGTCCTCTCTGTGCGTTCTGGTCCCAATCTACCGATGGGTTTGGAATCTTTAAATACGACACTAAAGGTTTTAGACTTTTTAGCCTGGCACCGCAACCAATTGATTCAACATGCGTAAATGTTAGTTCGCCCGGACCCTTTTATGAATGGTTTCCTGGACGAGTGTGTCATGGGAACACGCATGATGTCAAGGCAACCACGAAATTTGAAGCCGGGGATTTGATCACAAATGACCCACTTGGGTTATTTATCTGCGGTTGATTCTTCTATGTTGTTCACGGGGGTTGTCGCAAAATCGAACATTTTGGTGACTTTGTTTTTACTGTGTCGCCCATAGTAACACAATGACACCATCTTTTGGCAATTGAACATTTTTCTTACCGATTTTACTTTTTACATAAATAAGGAAGTGGAAATGAATTCGAACTCAAAATAATAAAAATAATATGTGAAGCCTAATGTTAACCACAAATAGTGTAAATCTTAGTTCATTTTAACCGAAATGCGTTTATCCCTCAAGAATAGTGTCACTTATCCTGGACCACTACCTTGGAACTATGTCGTATTAGGACGATCAGTAAAATGATCAGTCTAAGACGTTTCCAGCGATGGGATTACACCTAATCATATAAGGTTCAACTGTATTCGCAAGTTTTTGTTAAAAGATGGTGGATGTACAAATACTCAGGCATATCTGGTTCTCAAAATAATCACTGCAATCAACGAATGAACCTCGGATAGCTGAATCATATAGGAAACAAACAACTTTTATCAAAGTTCGTTAGTGTTTTGTTTTGTGTTTTTTACACCTCAGTGGAGTGTTACTCTCTTGGCACTCAATTGAGTCATACTGTTCATCAGCCCCCGAAATTTCCTGTTAGAACAAACAGCCCAACTACACCTCAAGCCCCGTGACTCAGCTCAAACGACAGCCCATCTGCTCCTTTGTTTTTCAAATTTGTCTAAGTGGAAGGGCTAAGTACTTCAGATAAATTGACCCTTCCTCCCATTGTCGGTTCTCATTCTGCCAGTATATAACTGCAGGTTGAACGTAGTCGCCGAGGCCCGACTAATCAATACGAATCAGAATACTGTTAGGGGGGAAAAGCCAGTTTTTCATTGATTTATTAGCTAGAATTTGACAAATTCCAACCTTCTGTTCTTCAGCTCTCCCATGAACATTAAACTTATGTCTATCATATACCCGAACCATCAAAATATTTTCTCAGTTCACGGTACTATTTTCCACTCATTTCCCTTCAGTCAGTAAATAGTTCGCACATTTTGTTATCAACCGCGTTAGACGTTGTCTCATGCTATCGCATCATAAAAAAGTGCTATTGTTGTTCTTGATATATTTTTATCGATTGCATCCTTGTAACCATAATCATAACCCAGGTCAGGTTACCGCCGAAAAACTCCTACTCATTTTCTTCTTCCATAACAAGTGTAATCATAGTGTTTTTTTTTAATTTCTCCTCATCTTGTGTAGGCTCGCAGGTGCTACTTCTTAAAGTTCTCTTTAACAGAAAAACGAAAGGAGCTATTGCCTGAAAAGTGTGGGAAATAACAAGACTGATATTTTGTGATGTTGAGACACTTGATAGATGTGACTGTACAACAACTATAGCTAATTCTCAGAAAAAAATGATATAAAACAGGAGACACAAAGAGCAGGTCCTACTTCCTCAATGACTGAAGTTCCAGGTTGTTAAAGTGGTAATAATCTTGGTTATATCTAACTCATGTGGTACACCGATTTCTACTGTTTCTCAACCTGGCCTCTGGGACTGCACACTTGAGTGTTTTTTGAGATGTCATTGGCAAAATTAGTCTGTTAATTCGGTATCATTTCAGTTTATTTAAGTGTCTTACCTTTTACTAGCTTTTCCCCGTATGCTGTTCTTATATGCGAAAGGAACAGTTGGTTGTTAAAATCGCAATGTCTGTGCGTGTCGATCCACGTCAAAGAATTATTCCCTTCCCCAATTATTTGGACGTACTCATGCGCGTCGTGCCATCGTTTCCCCACCGTCCCCTTGACTACTTCGCTTATCAGAGGAATCGTATGTCACTGTCCTGTTTAAATCTTCATTTCTGTCAGCCTTTTCTGTCTGTGTAGCGTTTTAGATTAGATTTCGAATCCGGATAATTGATTTAAAAACGAAAAAGATGTTAATTGTTTTTTTNTTTTTTTCGCTTTGCTGCTATTGCTGTCCTTAGGAGAACATCCTTTGTCGGATATCTGATCGATGTTCAATGTTCTTTCTGTCCTACTTTTATCATTTTCTCATCTCCCGAAACCGCGTTGTTTATTCTCACGTGAACGAATTCATGTGTTTCATTTTCAGAGATGCAACTGATAGAAGTTGCAATCGTTACATTATTTCGATTGAGTGTCTTCCACCAATGTTGTATGGTGATCACGAATACTCGGTTATCCGTGTAATCGGGCAGTCATTCATGCTGCATCAGATCCGTAAAATGCTAGGCCTGATGTTTGCAATCGTGCGAGGCAACACTACCGAGGCCGTGTTTGATATCGTTTATCGTCCCGAACGCGTAAGTGCTAATTGAGATAGTTCCATCTCTTCAATGTACTTCATTTGTGACCTTCCCATTGTTTACGTTAGGTTCGTTTTTGGTGAGCGAAATTTCGGTTTTAGTCGTCACAGTCTTTTTTCAGTCATCTTCCGCGCATTTTGTCTAACCGTGTTCGGATTTAATACTCAAGCATTACCATGAAGTTCTGGTTGCGATACCAAAATATCACTACGGAGTCGCCTTATATTGAATGAAAAAGTACACGGGGGAATGAATCAGCGTTCATCTCAAAGCAAAAAATCGACATCCGTTTCCTAGGTGATCTCACATTAGCCTGTTGTTTGTAATTTGTGCTCATATGTGCAGTATAAACGGATGATTGTAAGAACTGTTAAGCAATGAATTTTATGTTTAACTGTTTAACGCGCCTTACGTCGCAAAACAGCCTACTGAGATTTTTCTGCGCGAAACGCCGGAGTATCCAAATCCATATCCGAATTTATCTAATTCTCGAGCCGTCATCGTGAACAAGCTCAGGAGACTCCTGAACATAGGTTTTGCAATTGAAAAATATCTAAACTCAGCTAATTTTGCAACGGGTTAAGCAAGCAGTTGGAATCCTTCATTACACATTAGATAGATTAACAAAGGCGGATTAATCCGGTGTCACAAATTAAGCGTATGGTCGTTTGCAAACACCACAATGCACGTATGACGAATTCCCTACACAAAAAAACCTACTGCGAGGCGTTCTAATTGATGGCATTTTATCTGACACACGAGAAACAGCTTTATAATGCCTCGATGTTACAACTGTGATACTAAACTGCTTACAGCTAAAGTTAGCTGTATAATACGTCAGGATCACAGTCCGGTTAGCTATTGGTACTGTTTTGGTATAGATAAGGGTGAAGAAAACGGTCAGGAATCGGTCTGCATACATTTTCAGTTTGAAAAAATTCCCATTTTAAATGCTCTAGTATAAACCCACTTAACCGTAGTCAGAGCTGCCATTATGTGAGCGCTATTTTTTCCTTGAACCCAACTAAAACTTGATGGTATGGCAAATGAATAGAGTAAAACAAACTGAAGACAGTGTTTGGTAACAGTGTAAATGTTGACATATCGATTTCCTTTTTCGTGTAATGCAGTGCCCCCGTCTTCGGATTGGGTAGAGCAACTATAGAACGTTAGATGATGTTTACCATGGATTTAGTCACTTCGTTCAAACAAATCCCGTGATTCCGTTTCCGTGTTTTATTAGTTCAATTTTGCTTTGTGCAAAAAAGCTTTCCAAGGTTCTTGATGTGTCAGTTGAGTGTTAATTTGATTGAAGTACAATAGTACAATCTGTCCGTATTGTGTTGGTCCGACGGATTTTCAGCCCTATGCTATTCATAAGCTGCCTTATGTGAACTTAACCCCAACCCGTTCAGTGCTTTTTAATGATCTACATTAAGGAGGGAAACCGTTCTCCTTTGTTAGCTTCTTTTTCAAATAACGGTCCCTGTACACAAATGCCATAAATGTATGCTTTTTTAAGAGTATTCATATCTTTTTATTACTCAATTTGCATTCAGGTGGACGTTCCCAAAGCTCCGGGACTTGGTTTGATGCTCAATCAGGTGGTCTACACGCGATACAACGAGCGGTATGGAAAAGATGGCATACATGACCCCATCGATTGGTCGAAATACGAGGTATTTGATAGATCATTTCTTGTACCCGGTTTTAGCGTTTCAATTTCCTGCTTAACCCAGGTATCGTTAAGACATATTTTGTAAGCATTTACGCTAGACAGTGTCTCTCGTCAGTTGTTGAAGACTGTTGTCGCAATCTGTTTAATAATAAATGTCGCTATTTTATTGTGCTCTAGCTTGGGTCGAAATACCAATGCTTANGCTTAAACTTGTTCTCTCTCTATCTTTGTACGACATTTCGATAACGGCCATTTTCGTGAGAAGTTTTTTCCACCGTTCGAACTTGGGTTGGTTCACACAGATTAAATTTTGCTGCGAAAAGTGGGGCAGTTAGCAGTTCAATCTTCCGGTGTATAAATAAACGTTTTGATGGAGTGTGTTATGCTGTTTTACCCGAGAAGTGTGAATGATTTGGTGTGATCAAATAGTGATCAAATGAAGCGTGAACTGAAAAGCTAGGAAGCAATGAACAGCTATTGTGACCTGGTTAGTTCTCATTAGCAGTGTGAATTCATCGAACCCGGGAACGTCGTAGGTGGATTGCAAAGGTACTACTACTCAGCCGCCGGGCAACTGATAAGACCACTTTACCTTTTACCTATACGCGGTTTAGCACAGCTCATCTTTGCGGGCTATCTATCGCGTGCTGATTTCTTATTTGTATCGGTATAACTTTTGCATACTGAGATATGCTTGAATTTCAGTTACAAATTGTACACTGGTAGTCACACCGGAGAAAATAGAGAAGTATAAACAAATTCAATAGAGTGCTGTGTAAAAAAATAACTGTCTCTATAGTTTGATTCATTCAAGTAAAGATTGACGTAATTCGTTGTTGGTCAAGATGCGAGCCAGATACGGTACAGTGGAGTTTTATGAATGTTTATTCGAGAGGGTAGGTACCGATGACAGGAACGAGTGATCGAGTGGGAGTGACAAGAAGATATGTCAAAATGCAAAGGATGGGTGGGGTCGTTTGGAATCTTATCGGCAAAGGTCATACAAGACTTCATATGAACATTAATAAGTTCTGTGATTAATGACTCCGCAGAAAATAAAGATGTACGGCTATTTATCATTAATCCACAACGGATAGTTTTAAAGTGTTGTTTCAGTAGACCCGGAAACACTATAGGGGAGCAGTAAATTAAAATGGAGAACGCATTGTTTAACCAAGAGAGCAGAACTTGTTGGGGAGTGCGAAATTTTCGGAGCTGAAAGGAGAGGCGCCGAAGTTTTCCCATACAATTCTGAATTTGTGTCGCCTACTGAAGATTATTATCGATAGTAACACCCAAATATTTCCGAGCGTCCTTTGGTATTTTCCGTCGGAATATTTCTCCATACATTCGGAGTTCATTTATCTTGCTTAGACTAATTGCGTGTGTTACTCCGACGATCCGAATGGTGAATCAGCCTATCGTGGATGCGTGGATAACGCTTGATGTCATCAAACCCCTTTTGTTTCCTTCTTTTTAATGGTTGATGCTCATTTTTTTCTTTTTTTTTCAAATTCTCACTTCACCCGGAGTTTTGGCAATCGCGCGCTCCGGTAAAGGTATCGCATAGACTCTGTGTTGAACCTTCAAACAAGTGATTGTTTTTAATCCCCCAAACCCATCACCATTTACGCATCGTTTTGAGGACTTATTAAGCTGATTATGCATATGTGCTGTAATATGACATTCATCTTTTCTTACCTTTTCAGGATGAGATGGCACTTTTCCGAATGAAACACGTGTACGCACATATTGACAAAATAGAAGTTGAGGAGCGGTCGTATCCTTTTCATATAATCTTATTCTAGCCGTTAGAAACAGTAAATGGTTTACTTGATCGACTAAACATAAGCTGGATGATAATCAACGATAGCAACAGTTTTATCTCCATATTTTTGTTAACAGCTCCTTGCCAAATTAAAGCAGTTCACTAAAAGATCGGACAAGTCTGGTGTATTATTTGTATCGGCTAGCACTGAATTCCAGACCGGCTTTCCACTCCCCCCCCGTAGCTTTCATCAAATGATTGTGAAAATAACAATACACAATCAATTCTATATTATACATACATCATAGTCTCCGTATCAGGTTTGTCATTCAGTACGCGCAGAAGGAGCGGATTTTATTCTCGATAGAACTCTTCTCGTCTGCTAAACAACATGCAGGTATCAGAAGCAACACCTAATGTCTACTATTCTGACATAGCATTCAATAAACGGATGTTCCTTTTGTCCAATGATGCAACTGGAAATGTTTTACACGATTTCGTGTCTCCGTGATTGCAAATCTGTTTCACACTTCATGGCTCTACCTTAACATCTCTCGTTGTTCTAGTATGCTTGGTTGGCTGGAATCTCTCGATGTACACAGCTACTACTTTCGTCCTCCAGGAAGTCCCGTGAACCAGACCTCGACTTCAAATAAAGAAGAAACTCCTTCCTCTACTGTATCAGACAAGACAGACCCTGCAATATCAAATGCCGAAGGGAAACCCGTCGCGCTATCTACATAGTCTTGGCTTTTTGTGAGCCACTAGCAGTTTTAGACTGAGAACTGATGGTGTTCTACTTGGATCCACTTTGTGTCAATAGCCACCTTTTATACACATTTCGATCAGTTGCACTTAATTTTGGATTGTTCTTACAGATACCGCAGTGTGATAATCTACAGAAGCCCTCGGCCACCTACCGGGTAACTCAGCTAACTTACTGCATTAGCCCTAAAAGTTAGTTGGGGCTACCCAAATGAGGACCATATGAGAAAGTCATGACATTAGGTGGTTCGACAGCGAAGCTGTTCATATTGACCCAAAGGTTGATTAGGGAAAATCAACATATGTCCTTTTGGGGTATTTTGCGATTCATCACTTCATTTGTGAACTAAGTTGTTGCTTCCTTTTACTATTCTGTTGGTATTTGCTACCATGGTCTTCTTGCGGATAATTTTTTTAAATGGCTGAATCTATTGATCTTCACTCCGATAGGCCATCGTAAAGGGAATTTTACAACCTTATCTCTCTTTTGTGATTGCTGAGAAACTGTTGTTCTCATTGTGCCGTCCGAGCTGGAGAAATGTGATCAAACTCGATATTTGTCCCCGAATTGCCTCTCCATTTATAGAGTTTGTTCACTGCTTGATTTATCCTAATTTCAACTTAGATTAATGCTCTATGCGACTACACGGTAGCTTGATAGAACACTCAACAACCCCCTGTTGTGAGCAGACTATCTCCGAATTATCTGAACATCAATTGAACAAGGGCTGCGTCTGATGATAGGACCCGGAAATGATCAAAATTCTCAGTAAGACAACTCGGAGCCAGAGCACCAGTGTCGAAGTACCTTTCGCCATAGCAGATCTCATTTTTAGGTATTTATGTTCCGATTTTTACTTTTACCGCGTTTCACCCCAGTCTAAGGGAAGTAAGTTTTACAATAGACAACGTGCCATAATGTTCCCTGTATTCTATCCTCTTGATACTTTTCGCTTGCTGGATGATGCTGAATGTGGAGACACAGTAGTTCACAATTGTAAGCCGAAACCCTTCTCTCAGGAACTAAAAAACGGAAATCAATATAACGCGTCATGTTCAGAAGTCAGCTTAATATAAACCTGAAACAATGTGTTACAATAGAAATGAACTCTGACAAACAGTTTTTGGATTCAACATTTAAGAATAAAGTCAAGTTGAGAACAAATGAAAGTATTTAAATCAGTTACAACTTGTCTGCTATCTCTTATGGACTACCAGAAGGAATGAAAAATATTTTTCCGGAGGATTAATAAAAATAATGCTCGTTTTGCGTCTCTAAATGCTATTTGTGTTTGAGACAGATACGTTCATGAATCGGCAACCGATCAGTTTGGAATGTTCGTCCACAGCCAAATTACCCTTGCTCGCTTCCCATGCCACTTCATTGTATTTTGTCAAGTCATAATTGTCTCTGGCTTTCGCAAGTTCCGTTGGTTTTACTGGTGGTTTCTGTCGTTGTTCACGCGGCAATTGACTGTTTTGTACATGCCATTTCTCCAAGCATTGTGGCTCGTGGATAGATATGGACTTAGTCCCATATTCTCGACCGCATATGTAACAAACTACTGTTCTTGGTTTTACTGGTGGACTGTTGGAATAGCTTGTCGTACCTGTTTCCTCCGATCCTTTCATCCCGTTGCTGCATGAGCGCTCATGTACTTGAAGTCGGTCTGGCAAAAAACGTCGACCACAGTTTGGACAAGGAATGAGTTGTTCTTGAAACGACTTCCAAGCCTGTTCGTTGGCTTCTGCCTGATTCATGTTTCCACGATCAACTTTCTTTGGCAGCGACCTTCGTTTGCCGATAGGCAAACGGGCATTTTCTAGTTTCCATTTTTCCAAACATTGCGGTTCGTGTATAGCGATTGATTTTGATCCAAATTCTCGTCCGCAAATGTAGCAGTGGGTGGCTTTCTGACTTCACGTTTATCACCGTGGAAGGAAGGGTTCATGGACTGGATTAGTCTGAAAGAGAGAGGTTGCATATAGAGTTTACTTGGGATTTTGAAAATGTTATAGGTGAACGCGCGTATATGTAGGTCAGTCGTGGGACAAGTGGTGTACTGATAAATATTATCACTCAACTATTAGGCTCTCGTACCCGAGGAACGTTACTGTTTTGGGGTCAATGCATTCTATAACTTTCCGTCCTCGCAACCTTCGCCAAAAGAAGTAGGGGTGCTATAAGCCCGCGAATTCGAGATGTAACTATGAACGATTCTTCGTTTAAGACCGTCAATAAATGAATTCATTTACTTCAACTATCGTAGTATCTTGACCTAAGTGTGAATCGGAACCGCCACCTCACGAACAGAACTGGATCGGTTGGCATTTGCCAACTTGAGATATCTGTGGCGCCGTCGCGACATCCGGCTGTCTGTGAAGGGTTGAGTATATGCAGCAGTAGTTCGGTCAGTTCTGCTATATGGAGCATAAACTTGGCCATTAAGAAAACAGAACAACGATAGACTGTCGATGTTTGAACACCGCTGTCTACGCAGCATTGCACGAATCTGGTGGGGCAGCCGAACGAGCAATGCTGAGGTCAGGCGAAAAGTTTTGGTAACCGCGGTCGCCCACTGGAGCAAATGGTCGACCTCTATAGATTACGCTGGTTGGGACATGTGTTACGCATGTCACCAGATAGGTTGCCACGGCGAGCGAGGTTTGCCGAG